GCTTGGGACCAAGCTATAGTGTGCATATAGAGAGGGTGTGCATTTATAGAGCGTGCATTTATAGAGGTGTTACTGTAGTAGACTTTACTTGCAAGAAGAATCAATCAAAGATTTAGAATGAATTTTCGGGAAGGCGGGCAAGTGAAAAATTTCACAGATTCGTGAAAAATTGTAAGGTAAATACTGTATATAAATTATATAATATACTGCCATTATCTTTTTGAATATCAGTTAATTTGATATAATTTTTAATAGAAAATAAAACAATTTCTTGCTGATGATTCCAAGGGAAACAAACTAGAAATGGTACTATGTATCATGAGGAATTTAGAAACATTTTTGGGTCAAACCAGATAAATGTTATTCATAAACCCAGATGACAATAACATCAACAACTTTAACAGCAATAGCAGCAGCTACAACAAATTCAACAGCAGCAGCTACAACAACAATTACAACAACAGCAGTAGCAGCAGCTTTTACAAATTCAAGAGCAGCAGCTACAACAATAACTTTAATAGCAGTAACAACTGCTACAACAATGTTAACAGCAACAGTTAATACAAATAGCTGAATCACTTTTGTCTTTGGGTGATTCTAATAATAAAGGAAAAGAAGAAAAGGAAGTGGACACAAGCCAATCAAGTTGGGAAATTAATTATAATGATAAGTGAAGGTAGGTTTATTAAGTTGAAAAATGTTTACTATATTTAAATATATATATAATTTTAATTCTTTTATACTTTATTTTATAATTATTAAATTACTTTTAGATTTGTCAGGAAGGGAGGAGTTTAATATAATAATTACTTTTTGCAATTTGTAAAATTTTAAAATAGAGTCAATTGCTTTTATTATTTTTTTTTTTGCTTATTAAATAAATTAATTCAAAAACATTTTATCTTCTAAGTGTATAAATTATAAAATTATTTGTTTTATATAATTAATATTAAGATTATATGTAAATTAATTTATTTATGATTGATAAAATACCCTGATATTGATCAATTTATTTGATTTGAAAATTGATTAATATTCAGGTCTTAACTTAAGAGTATTGTTTTACATCTAATAAAATATCTGAGTATATTATCATGAGGTACAATTAAAAGGGGGTCTCTTAGGCAGTGCTCTATGGTATAAACCTTTAGGTTATCAAATTTAATAAAATAAATTATCTTAATAACTAATAATTCATATCTTTTATCTTTCTTTTTTATATTTTTTTTATTAATATGAATTTAATAAAAAGCTTATTAATTAATTAATATAACTCATTTTCAATCAATTTTAATAATAAATTTTAATTTTAATATCTAATAATATAAAATGATAATTTTATATCTATTGTATTATCTTATAAAAATAAATATATTGGTAATTATTTTGGTTAACTTATGATAATTAATATTTATTAAAATATAATATAAAATTTTAAATTTATTTATATTAAACCAATTTAACTTTCATGTTAAATCTAATAATTATTAAATTTCAGACTATCAAGTTAAAATTTAGCATTTATTATATATAATAATTTATTGAAAATTATTATTATTATATATTTATATATTTAACTTTATAAATATCTTTAAATTTAAAGATAAAACAATTATTTATTAATAATAAAATATAATTATTTTTATTATAATATTAAAAGAAATCATCAAATATAAGACTTATTTTGATTTATTAAATTTTTTAAAAAATGTTATTTCTTAAAAGAATTTATAAACAATTAATTACTATAATTTTTTTTAAAAATATATATTATATTATAATAATTTTTATTTTTAATTATATGGCAAGTATTATGAAAGGAACTAAATTGTAAAAAAAAATTTTTTTTAAAATAATTAAAGTTCTGAATCAAATAATAAAAGTTATATCTAATTCACTTAGGAATAAATTTTTTCAATTTGATCACTTTTTATAATACTCATCTTATATTATAAAAACTTTAAGATTACATAAGCTAAAAATTTGTAATTTTTAAAAATTATAATATTATATAATTTATTATAAGAAAATTTTTATAATAAATTTTTTAAAATTAAAATTTAATAAATATTAATAAAGTTAAAATTAAGATTGCTAGTCTAAACTTATTTTGGATTTGGTTAAACATTTTAAATTTTTAGTTTTGCTAAATTTTTACTAAGTGTTTGATATAATTTTGCCGCTTTGATATAGTTTTACCTTTTTCTAAATTTTGCAGATTTTTTAATAGGGTTTTAATATAATTTAACCAAATTTTACCTTTACCATTTAGAAATCTATCTAAACTCTTAATTTCATCTAACAACCTTATTAAAAAATCAAAATTTTTTTAATTTTGTAAATAACATTTGCATGCTAAACAATTTAAAAAATAAATTAGTTTTTATATAATAAAATTGCAATAATAAAATTATTATTTATAATATATTTATAATATTTTTGATTATTATAAAAAGTAAATTCTAATAAAATTATTATAGATTAATAATAAAAATTTTAATATAAATAAATTTTTATAATTAAAAAAGATTTTATTATTAAAACTTATTATATAAGTATATTTTTAGTAAAATCACATTTCTGATCATATGATTTACTATGTCTTATAACTTAATTTTACTAAAAACATTTCTATATAACAAAAAATATTAATAAAAAATTAAAATATAACATTTTTTTATAAATAAAATAATAATTAAATAATTATAAATAATGATAAATAATGATAATTTATTTAAATTAAAACATTATAATTATAATTAACGTTAATTAATTATTTTTTATTTAATTTTATATTTTTATTATATTAGGATCATAAATATTTTAATTTAGTTGAAATAATAAGTAATTTAATTTATAAATCTGGTGTCACTGAAAATACTTCTTTTTCTATTACACATATTTTACTAAGTTACTTTACTGCAGCTAGTATAGTAATTTGTTATCTAGCAATCTGAATTATCTGCCTCATTATCTGATCTAATAATATATAACAGATATAGCTTTAGGAAGATGATCTGTATTAGATTCATTCAGGTTATCTGACAGATAGTCAGATATCTATTAGACACTTATATCAACATTTTAAATAAATTTTTTAATTAAATTATATATGTACTTTATCACAGATTTTAACAAAGTTTATAAATGTAACATGATTGAAATCACATGCATATCATTTATTTCTTGATCATTTAAGTGGCTTAACTTTAATTTTGCACTATTCCACTTTTAGTTAGTAATGTGAAAAAAAATGCTTTTTAAAAACTTCAACTAGCAAAGGTAAGTAGTTAACTAAGAGATAACATAAAATAACAAATGCTAACATTCAAGAAAATAAAAAAATATATACTTTAGAATTTGTTCTTTCTGAATAGAACATATATAAAAATCCTCAGATTGAAATTCTTCAGGATAAAGTTTTTCAAAATAAAACTTTTCAGACTGAAGTTCCTCAAGATGAAGCTTCTCAGAATGAAGTTCTTCAGGATAAAGTTTCTCAAAATATTTCTCAAAATGAAATTCCTCAAGATAAAGTTCCTCAAAATGATAACAAAATTCTTCAAGATAATGTACTAGTAGATACAATTATTTATTTAGAAAATATGTCAAATAAAACAAGCTAGGTATAGAAATTTTATCACCAAGAACTTTGTATAAAAAAAGGGATGGGAAAAATACATAATATATAAAATAGAAGTAATAATTGGCAAAGAATGTAAAAGAATCTATCAAAATGAAGCATTAACTGGTAATCTCATTGAGCATTTATTTTTTGAATATGAAGTTACAAAAATGAATCAATTATCTAAAAAAGTATTTTTATTTAAAAATTGTATTATTGATTAATTGATCTTTTTCACAAACTCACCTTAATTTTTTAATAATAGTTGACACAAACTATTCTTTGTAATTCTGGTCAATCTGTTCAACCTTATAATTTTTTTTTTTTAAGTGCGGTAGTTTCGCAAAATCTTTATTGATAATATAAAATATAAAAAATTACATAAAACAGAAGTTACGAAAATCTTTATCTAAAATAATAAAAATACTATTCTAAATCAAAACTGACCCTACACTTTCCCAGAATCAAATATAAAAAAGAAATTTTACATCATCACCTTCCAGTAAACTGACCAGAGAAAGAAAAGGGCTTAGTTCCTACTGCACTAAAAATTTGACCAATGCGATCCTAAGCGAACCATCTTAGAAATTAAATCAGTGGAAAAAAAGTTAGCATATGATGAGTGAAACTGGTAGCCAGACGCCTCCGTATGAGTACATTTAAGCACATCCGTTATATCTTATGATTTTCAAAGTTTTTGAAGGCTGAGCATTTATCCATCCAAATGGATTGTGTTTGAGTAAAGATAAAATACATAAAGTTTGAGATTGCCGCCAATGTGGATTCCTTTGTGATAAGATACGAATGTACGAAGTTATACAAGTCGAAAGGAATAATTCCTTTGATCAAGTCCACAAAAGTGAAGGATGTTGCTGATGGTAAAGACCAAATATCTAATGTCTCCAAAGACACCGCAGTATTGAGTTGAAGGGCGTCGACTAAGTGAAGTTTCACCTCGTTAATGAGTTGAAGCATCTCCGATTCTCTGGATGAACAAGTCCATATGTGGTTGAAGTCTTCATGTTCTGAATTACAACAGAAACAGAGCCAAGAGTTATTATAAAATGAAGGGTGTTGTTTATTAAGGACCACTATTGTAGAAAGCATTTCAAGGACATGTTGAAGTTTTTTCATTTTAATCGAAGACATCTCAAATGTAGTAAACAAAGGTGCTGCATTATCTGAAATATATAATTTGTTACAACCCAATTAATATTGAGATTGTTATATTTGTGATTGACATCAAGATTCAAAAAAGAAACCAGATGTGCAGAACGAGTGATGTCTTTGATGAGTGGTCTTATAGGGGTTGCAATTGCATATTGTTGAAGATACAGAGAAGGATGAGATTTATCAGAAGAAGTTAGGTGTAAAGAATTTGAGTAAAATGCGTCTTTCACCATTGCATCCACTTTTTCATTGGCATTCAAACCAGAGTGGACTTTTACTTTGTGCATCATTATTTTTAAAGAGAATGACTTGATGACTTTGAATAAACATTGCCAAATATGTAAATTACTGATTTTGAGAAATAGTCTTTGTGAAGGAGAGATTGCCAGAAGCAGCTCATATTTTTTGAATTGTGAGATAACAGTGGCGGAATCTGTATGAATTTTAATTTTGCAGTCTTTTGGAGCAACCAAAACCGCAGTAAAGATGACTACCAGTTCAGCTAACGAAGAAGATGGAAAAGAAGCTGTAAGTGCTATCGCAAAAGAAAGCAGAGGAGAAACAGGTGCAGTTTGGATCCAAGCCAGTCCCATTCTCAGAAAAGAAGTACCTAAATTAACCAAAGAGCTGTCAGTAAAAAATTCTAAATGAGTTGAAAAAGAAAACTGATTACAGAGTTCTAATAATTGTAACGTATGAGATTAAGGTAAAAATGTTTAAATAAGTGATGGAAATATGCGGGGTGTAAAAGAAATATTAACATCATTGGGTTGAGTTCTATTGTAAATTACAAATTTGGAAAAGGTGAGGTTATTAAGCAAAGCTAAGGACCAAGCACAATAAGAAACAGATTCTGATTTGTTTTGGTAAAAAGGGATTTGAAAACACAAATCTGAAGAAACTGAAAAGAAACAACACATCTTTTTTCATTTCACAGAAAATCCTTTGGAGACGAAGGCCAGGGGGTCATAATAGTGACATCTAGGGTATTCATTAAGAAGAGTTTTGTGATTGCGTCTAGCCATTGGTACAAAATGCATCACGTGAACTTGATCAGTGTCAACTTTCAAAAGTTGCCCTATAAAAGATTTGTTGTCACCTATGTGCCATCCCAGTACAAAAACATTTTTGTTTTATTTTTGACAGGTGACAGAAAGTCATAATTCAATAATACAATATGTTGAAAATGAACAATAGTATTGCAAAAGGAGTTATCCTTAAGAAGCGCAGTTTGTAGGATGTTGTACTATTTAGGGGATTTTGGTGAATATGGAATGTAGAAACATCAGGTTTCCACTGATGAGTCATATTGTACCCCAAAGGAGAATCGTGTATTCTACATAATAGTGGGTCGTAATAGATACACCAAAGGAGTGGAAATATTATTTCACCTTGATCAATACCTGAAACAACTCTGTATAGGTCAATATTCCCAAAGAAAGTAAAGATCTGATTAAAACGATTACTAAACATTTTTAAGATAAATCTAATAAAATTAAAAGGGATGCGAAGCCGTTCGAATGCTCTAACGAGCATAAACAAGTTTACTCAATCGTAAGCTTTAGACATATCCTGAGACAGCACCCAGAGATCTTTGTTATTCGTAATAGAGTCGAATTTAATGTTATCTACTATACGAAGTGGTTTGAAAGTCGATTTATATGAAAGTTCAGTAAAATTGAGCCTCTTGAGCATATTGTGCTGAATGATAATTGATGAAAGATGCCGGTTGAGTAATTTTATGAGAGCTTTCTGGAGGCATTCTAAAAGTGTGATAGGTCTAGTATTGTTAAGGTCATACTTCCATGGTTTTAGTTTTGGTATTGGTAAACGAATGCGACATTCTACTGATGTGAAAGAGTCGACGCTGATAAGCAATGACTGATAATATACCAAAATAATTTATTTGCGTGTTGACCAAGATGTTTTAACATTTTATTAGAAACTTTGAAAGGACCAGGAGCCTTTCCATTTGGCAATGTAGTAAGGATGTTGTACCATTCCTCAGCCGTAGGTATAATTATAAGTCCATCATAGATGGAGCTATTGATATTATCTATTGGTTTGTAAAAGGAATTCCATTCATCAGGGATATCCATATTCTTATGGGAAGTACTAGCAGCCAACTGGAAGTGCTTATTACCTCTATTTTGATGAGTATTTCATTTGTCAGAAGATCGCGTGATTCAAACACACGATTGAGACATCTTTCTAACACGATTGTTTTTCTTGAGTGATTCAGTATTGAGTTGATCATCCTGGAAGGAGCAGCTGCATAATTGTTCAACTTGCTCTCTATCGCTTGTTATATAGATTTCAACTTAAATTCTTGTTCATAGAGTTTGGTTCTAATTAAGAGGCAATTAAGTAGTATTTTAACGTATGAAAATAATGACATAAGAAGTAACGTGTTCAGTGTAGGGGGTAATGCTATCAAATGATATCCAAAAATGTTAGAAACCTCGTGGAATTTGTTGTAAATTATGGACCAATCCTCAGATAACTTATCAAACTTGCAAGCTGTCTTGATTTTCTTATTAAACTTATATAAGAATCTAATATTTTTATACAGTTTAGTTAGCAAAGGAGGTTTTTTAATTTGTGTTGTCCAGATGATTTATGTGAAGGAATAACATTATCAGCAGCTTTGATGATACAGGCTTGTAACAAGTCCCAGTAAAAATTATGTTTGGTCTGGTTAAGTTTTGTGTTGAATTTTAGGAGGCGCAGTTCACAACTGTTGGTAAGGACATCTATTTTGTCTTTGTATTCCTTCCAGAGTTCATCAGTCATCTTATCATAATCGTGTATCATCTTTTTCAGAATATTTTGTTTGTTGTTCTTGACTTCGAGATAATTATCTATGGAACAAATTACAATTGCATGATCGGAAATTTGCGATAACACAGATACTAAAGATGGGAACTGTAATTAATATGTTGCAACTTTTAATGTTGCAACTTACGTTGCAATTAGTTTTAACTTATATATGTTGCAACTAATTTTAGCTTATGTTGCAATATTTTGTAAATTTGAAATCAATTGCTGTACCATCTTTAATAGATACGGTATTACAAGTGTTAAAGTTATAGGCACATTCCGCAGAAGTCCAAACAAAATCGATGCGAGAAGTTGAAGTCATTGATTTGAAAGTTGGATACTTGACCTGATCATTACTGTGGTTCAATGTGCATGTGTCGAACAAATGCAAATTTTGAAGCAATGAAAAAAATTCTTTTGCACCCTTTGAGTTCTTGTCTCAGTCCATATTGGCATTGAAATCCCTAGTTAAAATAATGTGAGAATCCTTAAAAATCGCACTATTGATCAATTTTACTAATTCTTTTTGAACCAATTTCTTTGTTGAAATGTCTGATGAGGCAAATAGCAAATTGATAAATCTTAGTTTTTGTTTATTAGTAAATTGGAAGTCGACATAAATAATGCGGTTGAACATTTGTTTGTAATAAAAATATGATTGGTCAGTAATAGACGTAATAAAATTTTTACGCCAAAGTCAGTTTTGTTAGGAGATGATTCAGAACTGAAAAAACCTACAAAGTTAGATGAGTATTCAAAATTAAATGGTTAAATATGTTGTTGAAGAAAGTTAGTTTCTTGTAGACCAATGGCATCTACATTTAATGAAAGGTATTATTCAATAAGGGAGTATTGTTTAACGGTGTTAGTGAAGCTACGGATATTATGTGAAACGAAAAATAAAAAAGGAGGAGAGGTGAAATTTAAGGGAGTTGTGTTAAGAATTGATGCATCTTGTGCATTATTATCAGTAGAAACAGTGTTCATAATAAAATTAATATTTTTGGGCAT